TCATCTATCACTCATAAACACATGAGACTGGACAAGAAATAACAAAGCCAGAAGATTGGAAGAAATGTATTTCTTCAACCATGGAGCTTAACAAGTAGAAATGCTTCCATTCGTCTCTCAGTAATTTCCTCAAACAGATGACATGCGTCACTCCTTACAAAAAGCCTTGAAACCATCCACAAAAACACGATAAATTTCTATCATACACTTGGAAATTTACAAACCCAGAAAAGTTGCAGCAATGTCTTCAAGCGCAGTGTTCTTGCAACATGTGTTTTACGCTTATACATCAACACCTAATTAGGTGTGTTTGTGTATTACATATGTAAACACACACACTGATTAGAATATTATATCAAGAAGATAGTGTAGGAAAAAAACAAGATATTTACCAGAGATGCTTCGAGAGATACTATGAATCGAGCGCGACATGGTAGAAAGCTGGGGAGCAAGCTTTCCAATGGCGGTTCGCGGGTTCGACTGAGGATTGAGTCTTTCCTTTCTTTGCAAATGTATAGGCTGGATACGATATATGGGCCATACGTGAATGGGCCGAGCTCCTTGCAAGCCCAATTGTTAGGCAGTATTTTCCTTCTTTTTTTTTTTTAAATAAAATTGGTTTAATCTCATTGAATAGGTAGTCTTATTGCACTACTATGTAAGAGCATCTTCAATGATATATAGTCCATTTGGAGATGTATAACATGGAAAAAGAGAACTACAAAATTTTGTCTCCAATGATAAATGTCAATTTTAGTATAATTTGACATGTGTAATATTATAATTGATAAATGTCAATTTTAGTATAATTTGACATGTGTAATATTATAATTGATTGGGAATGACATATATCACATAATAAATAATAAAAAATATAATAGAGGATGTCTAGAAGTACTTCTAGACATAGAAAGACTTCTAAACATTTTGAATGTCACATAAGATTAATAATGCCGCATGGCAATAAAAAAGAACAATCTATGGACCATTGGAAATGCTCTAACATTCCATATATTTGGCCTACTCCAAAATTAAATTTTTGCTTATCTAATATTAGGTTTAATTAATGTTAACTTTTATATTAGTTGGATCTGTGAGGGAAGGGCTATGTATAATTGAATTACTTAATAATAATAAAGATAGGTATTATTAGGTGGCCCGCGATGTCTCCTTTATAATTTATATTGTTTTTAATAAAATTTTCTATAATATGAAATACTATAGTTTATTTGTATCTTTTTTTAAATACGACATCTTACTATAATTTATATCGTTTTTAACAAAATGTTTAATAAAATGAAATATTATAGTTTCGTTTGTATCATTTTTTAAATACGACATTTTACTATAGGTTGATCGACATCATACTTTAAAATGTCATACTTGTTTTAATTATTTTTTAAATATTTTTAAAGTATGATATGATATTGGACTCTATACATATCCTAGAAGATTTGTGGTGGCTAAAAGTACGACGTAATTTACTTTGTCAAATTGATTTACCAACTAACTTACCAAATTATGCGTTTTCAATATTTGAGTTGTTGATTTTCGCAATATTATAACAACAAAAGTAATAAATATTTGTAATATGTACTTTCAAAACCGTTCTGTAAATGATCCCATTTATTTCTTAAGGAATTGACACTGCCTTCAAAGACAAAGCAAACAAACATATAAACTAAAGAAAAATGGAAAGTGGTAGTTAAGCAAAAGTTAGATGGCCAAGTAAAAGATTTTACGATGAATCTCAAGCATACAATACACATCACCGAAAAATCCCAAGAAATCCGACAGCTTTGGCCATCGCCAAACGATACATTTCACGACGAATCACCAAAATAGATGCGACACGGGGAAATTGAGTCGAGCAATCTGTTCTTATTTTTTCTTTTTCCATTTTTTGGGAAATAAATAAAACTACATTTTGTGATTTCTGGCCATCTCCTCCACGTCCAGTTCCACTTCTAGAACAGGTGAATCCTTTATCTCACTAAAATGGCTGTAAAAGAAGAAAATGATATGAAAAAAAAAAAAAATCATTATGCAAAATTTTGTAGTTGAGAAGATCCCCTCTCTAGAAGCATTCATATCAATTTTGTCGATACTCGATTTTTTTATTTTTTTGGGTGATTTGGTCAAACCTGTTATTGACTGGCCCATGATCGACAGCATTCCTCAGACAATATATGACACGGCCAACTATGTTTTCCATGGTAACCGGACCAAAAGTTCGACTATCATAGGCTTCCTGCTATAAGTACGACCATTTGAAAAGAAAAATCGAATGAAAATATATCAATCATCCATATCTGCATGCTGCAAAATGAAGACACGCATATATCTCAAACCATTACATTTCAGTTAACTTTACGAAACTTGTATTTGTAAGTGATAGTCACAATTGATCTTAATCCATGGAGATAGCTACTGCTTGAGAATGGTGTTTTTATCATTTAATTCGACAGTTAAGAGTGAGCTTAGTAGCTGTTGATTTTGGTTGTTTTTGGCTGCTTCTAGTCTGTAAATATGTGTGTTTATTAATTGAAAAATTGTGGTTGTGAAAATTCACACGCAATTTGTTTAACTTTTTTCTCGAATGTTTGAATGCACCACCATAGAATCTCGCTCTTTTTTTTTTTTTTTATCAATTTNTTAAGAGTGAGCTTAGTAGCTGATTGATTCGACTGTTTTTGCGTCTGTGAACATGTGTGTTTATTAATAAAAAAAATTGCCGTTGCGAAATAAAAAAGAGTGAGATTCTATGGTGGTGCATTCAAACATTTGGGAAAAAAGTTATACAAATTGGGTACGTATTTTTCCACCCTAGAAGCTGATTATCTCATTTTTTTATATGTTTTGGTTGTTTTTTAGCAGACACCCTAAAAGATACGATGGCAAAATTATCGAAAGTCAACAGGATCCTATTAAGATGATATAAAACGATACATGCTTACTGAAACCAATTTACAATAAATTACCAAAACAGTAAGAGAGAATAATACCTTTGGGTTTAGGTCTTTATTGTCGGCTAATACCCAACACTGATCATTTTCAAGTAGAAAAGGTTCGTCCTTCTCATCAGTCGATGCCATCTCGAATCCTTCAATAGCAGCTAACCTCCGAACAAGATAATTGCCTGAGTTTATTGGGTCCTTTAGTACCACCATATCACCAACATGAACTCGACTACAACAGACGAAGACGAAATAAGTTGGCTTCTTAGAAATAGGATCACAAATAGATAATATGAAAAAAAAAAAAGGCAAAAAGAACAGGTATTATGATGATTAATAAGTTATGATGACCCAATTGGACAAGTGAGATTATAGGTACCAAATTTTCTCTCATTTGCTACAATTTTCCGTGCTTATCATTCGGTCTTATAGCTAAATCAACTCTACAGAAAGTTAGAAACATTGTTTACGTCATATATGCATGTAAGAGGCTAAGAGCACAATGTTTAAAATTGCAGTCGACACAGAAAGCAAATGAGTAAAAGGAAAACTTAATTGAAGACAAGAAAATTCAAACTTAGACGAAAATGTTTGAGCAAAGTCAACTGTGTTCCAATATGAGGAGAAAAAAAGAAAAAATACGTTTGCATTGACTAAAAATCACCATTCAACATGGAAATTCTATAACTCTATTATAAATCAAATTATTCTCTATGATCCGACTCTTATAGCCTCTCCGGTTCAATGCTTTGTGTTCCTGGACCAAAACAGCCGATGCATACTTTTACTTTCCAAAGTCATCAACCAAAAGGGCAAACTTTAATTTCACGCCAAGAATGAAGGACAAAAAGAATGATGACAATTGAGAAATCATATTCATCAAAGATGGAGGTTATATAAACGATATATTTGGTAAGCTAATGACAGAAGAAAGTACTTTTTTTTTCAGCAGCAAATGCAGAGAAATAACATTAATTTAGTGCAACAAGATATATATTTTTTTTCATAATGGCAAACCATACGTAGGATTTGCAGCTGGAATTTTCCGAACAAGAAGAGTTCCATCATAGCTGCCGATCGATGGGACCATCTCTTCTCCTTTATTCCAATGCAAAAATGTCAACTTTCCATGGAAAACATTCCTCCATATCATATTGAGAATCTCCGTATCTTCAATTTGACCTTGTATGTAGGTCTGCAGTCACATAGATTCTCTCAGTTACGGGCTAGGCGAAGAAAAAGAATAGCTAAAAATAAATTATTTTTTTGAGTAAGCCCAGGACAATCCACATAAAATATAGAAGAAGAAGCAACTTTGCCATGATATAACCCCAAAAGAGAAAAAAAATAAACTTTTCAAAATAATGGAACAAAAAGTTAAAATCAATCGATTAAGAAACCATCAAGAAGTATAGAAAATTGTTTTGGATATTTCTTTTCTACAAGGTATTTTGATATCAAAAATTGCAAAGAAAAAAAAAATGGAAGGAAAGTAACTTTCCTAAATTACAATGCAAGTCTACTAATTACTTAAAATTTCAAGCACATGGAACCAATGTTTTCAAACCCGGACTGGACACCGGTCACTAGCTCAACAGTCGGGTCGTTGGGTCAATAGCTAAGCCTAGTAATTAATTTTAAAAAACGAGGAAATTATATGTACACTAATTTTATCTTATAAATATAAGTAAAAATAACAAAAATAAATAATTTAAACGTACACAATATGCTTCAAAGTCCTAATAATATTTACCACATAAATATATACACAAAATTTCAATTTTAAGATAAAAAATATCTAAAAGGGGGTGGGTCGAAATAGGTGACCGACCGAGTCAGTGCACAGGTTAACCGGATTTGGCCCATCACAAAAAGCATGTACTTTTCTTAATGTAGTTTGAAGCATGTAAGAAAAAGTTCAGACGCATCTAAGATAGGGAATCACAAAGAACCATTTCTATGCACCTGCCTCTTTCTAAATTGATAGCTCTATAACAGCCCTATAACAGAAAGTCCAGAGTCTAGCAAGAATAGCACACCCCAAAAACAACTAATTCCGAGTATCTACTCAAAATGGTGAAATAAACATTAGAAACATACACACCTACTTGGCCTTTTTCAGCATCAGATTCTCAATCAACTAATCCATGCCACTTATAACCTTGTTGATGTGACTCCTACCTCAACCATTGATCAAAGACAGTGGATAAACAAAGTAAAGCTCTGATTTTTCTTCAAATACCCTCATGTATCTTCTTATTCTTTTCGTAATATCTTTTAGAAACAATCAATCAGCATAAATGTAGAATAAAACTCAGTGCTCAACTTTTTCACACTATTGGCCCCGGGGTATTCTCACACCAATGTATTTGGTGTGAGTCCGAGAGTTACCATTAGACAAGAATCAAGTTAATCAAGCAAGAATTTGAATATCCAAGAGTCCAAACAAAATCAACCAACCCCTCTTCATTGGAAATTTCACACACAAAGGAAGACAAAAAGAAAAAGAAAAAGAAAAATGCAAGAGATTTTCTTTATCTGTCTGAGCATAACACGTCAAAAAGAAGAGAAAAAACATCGAATCCACAGCAAAACCCAATATTTTCACACAAAAATCACCTCGCAAATACAGCACAAACCCTGCAAGTTCCAATCTTTAGAAAGGGAAACATCAATTCACGCATAAAAAATGAAAAGATTCAACTCCATTGTCTTGAAAGGGGAATTTGCACAAAAAGGCAAGAGCTTTATAATTACAGAAAAGGGTTCATTCACCTTTCGGGTGAGCGAGACAGAGTACTCGAATTTGGTGGCAATGTAGCGAAACCATGTTGACAGCCCAACCATTTGCGAAGCTACTTTTCAGTCTTAACAAAGAATTATTAGTTCCTCCGAGCAGTTCATTTAAACCCTTGAAATTTGTATGTTGCAAGTGTTTTTCCCAACTGTATTAATTAGGAATTTTAAATGAATCTTTTAAAATTTTAATAATGTTGTTATATTTAATTGTCTAAATTGCAAATTTTATCCTCTCCAGACTCCAAGTAGACATGGGCAGGGTCGGCCCGGAACCGGCCCGTATGGTCCATTGAATTGGACCCATACTACAAATGGACTAGTTTTTAGTTTTAAATTTTTTTTTAACCCGTCGTGTTCAGGCTGGTTCATGGCCAGAATATGGTCCTGGTTTTCAATCATTTTTTTTTTTAAATTTTTTGTCCAGATTGAATTTGGGCCGTCAGATCAATCTGATCATTGGAAATACAACGGTTGGGTCAAAATCCGATTGGGTCAGACCCGACACGCTGGGTAGTCCAATGATCACATTTTTTAATCGTGTTGTCGGATCATTTGACCATTGAGATCCAACGGGCAACTTTTGCCCGACTTGCCTGACCCGCCGGGTTGACCCAAACCCGTCGGGTATCCATTCAAAAAGAAAATTAAAAAAAGGCTCAGAACTGCCGAAGTCGGGCATGAAACGATGGTTTGGACCGGTTCAGGGTCTTCTACCAATGACCTGGAACCGTTAGGTGCGACCCATAACCAGGTTTGGCCATGTCTATCTCCAAGACACATTTGTTAGGAGAAAAAATAATTTTTATTTTGTCTATCAAGATTGCATTATAGAGATCTGATTAACGATTAGTTTGTTGTGTATGATTGACACAAGATAAGATTTGTTGGATATAATGTGTTGTGAATTTATTGTCACAGATAAACGATAGGATAAACTATATAACTACCAATTTGCCCTTCAAATAAACTAAACTTTATAATTGCCATCATGAAACACTTGTATCATTTAGCAATGATAGTACACCGTGAAGTTCCTCTGCTACAAATGTAAACTTCATAATTATAATGAAGAAAATTTGGAAAAGAAAAAAGAAAGAAAAAAAAATTCAAAGCACCATTATCCTTTTCAATTTTTTGCAACCAAATATTTAGAGTAAAATAATCTAATCATAAATTTTTGCACCGATGTATCCAAAAGTAAATGAATCATGAACTCACCTATTAAAAAGAAATAATTTATTCGAAAAACTCAATAAATTTTCCAATTCTTTCTTGGAAAAATTGTGTTTGTGTGAGGCTAGTCCCACCCCAAAGAACTTAAGTTGCCCACCCAAACTGGATCGAGATTTAGATCTTTCTTCACCCATTGATCCATTGATGATTAATTTTCCCATTTGAGCTCCACCACTACGGCCGTCAAACACCATTGCCGCCTTACTTCTCCTTCTCTGTAACGCCCCGATTTTCACAAGATAAATTTTCATTAGGAAAGAGCAATACATATTTTAAAAAAAATGCCTAACTTTTAAAAAGTTAATTCGGTTCTAATTAAAATCTTTTGTCACTGTGCACTTTGATAAAATAATTACAAAAATATAATACATTAAGCAGAAGTTGAAATAAATGAAAAGAACTTAACTTTTTGAAAATGCAAAGCCTAGAAAATTAAATTTTAAAAACTATCGACTACCTAATGAAATTAAAATACCATTTTTCAACAATTTTAAATAATGAATGATTTTGTACAAACAGTAATTTAAAATTTCCAAAATGTTTGTAGAATACAACGATACTTTTTATGAATGATGTATATAATCAATCTTTAAAAATAAAACACCATTATATAAATATTCAACGAGAAAATAGTGTCAACAAGTAATAAAATATGTAACTTTTCAGCCCGAAGGCTACATGAATCTCAAATCCGAAGGCAACATTGGTGAACCCAAAGGTTACATATTATCCGAAGGCAACATTAGTGAACTCGAAGGTTACATATTATCCGAAGGCATGACTGAAGCGTAGTGATCACATAAATAATTTGATAGCAATAATGAAACATTTATCCAAGACATGTAATCATTTTAGTTTAGGAAAGTAAACCCCACATCGAATAGCGGCTCGTGAAATGACTTGAAATTATACTCGCTCTTGAATGATCCTATCGTGCAATAACTTTATCCTATAATGAAATGTAATTCAACTTAATAAATGGCTCGACTCGAAAATGAGTTATTTTAATTAAATAACTTTAATATAAGTATAATAAATAATGATGAAGGTAAACAGGTGACATGAAAGGCTAGATCGAGCTTGAGGGTGTTCAGGATGAAGGTTCGGTGGTCGTAACGGATATTCTCTTGGCTCATTATCATTTCCATTTCCTTTGTTTAGGTCTAATTAAACAGCAAAGGAAATGTTTGTCGAGGCGAGACGACAATGTTCCTAATCACCGGCAACATGCGACTCTCGACAAAAAGCCTAGTCGACTCTATAAATAGTCAGAAAAATGCAAGTGAATTTTTCATATTTTTGATAGTGCGTAGCTGCAAAACGAATACTTCAACTGACGATTTTTGACCACTTGATTGTCTAAATTTAATGGGTACTAGTATTCGTGTGTATTTGCACAGCTATAAATAAATTATTGTGAGTCTGTATGCATATAATGATTAATTATTTTTCTTTCACTTTTTTGCAGACCAAATTTACAATTAAAAGAGTTTGAATATTTTTTTTTAAATTGCGTTTATCTGATTGGATCTAATGTATATTTTGGTACGTCTTTTATTTGTGAATTATTTATTATTTATTCAGGAATTTCAAATATATTTTTTATTTAAAAATAAAAAATAAAATTAAATGTAACAACAATAATAACATCTAATCACACTAGTATTCAGCCTGTGCATTTGCACAGATATAAATAAAGCACTGTAAGTTTTTTGTATGCATATAATGATTACAGATTTTTCTTGCACTTTTTTGCTGGCTAAATTTACAATTAAAGGAGCTGAAATATTTATTTTTTTAAATTGCGTTTATCATATTGGATGTAATGTATATTTTAGTATGTATTTTTTTTGTGAATTATTTATTATTTATTTAAAAATTTCAAATACGTTTTTTATTTTTCAAAAGAAGTTAATTTAAATGTAACCACAACAATAACATCTAATCACGTTAAATAGTCAACATATTATATGGTTAAATGTAAGTAAATCAAAGTTTAAAATATTTTTATAATTTTGAAGTGATTAGTGTGTTGATTATCTAATAATTAAATGAGAGGTTAAATAAATTAAAAGTAACGGTTTTTTGGAGGGAAAAAATTATATTGCCACATAGGTATAATTTAATAGGTTTTATTAAATGCTCATGAGCCAGCAATTATATATATATATAGATTATACGGTCAACACATTATATGGTCAACTGTCATTAATCAAAAGTTTAAAATGATTTTTGTAAAATTTTGAAGTGATGAGTATTAATTATTTAATGATTAAATGAAAGATTAAATACATCAAAATGTAACGATTTTTGGAGGGAAAATTATTAAATTGCCACATAGATAAAATTAAATAGGTTTTATTAAATGCTATTAGCTAGTAATTATATATACTAGTATTCGACCTGTGCATTTGCACAGATATAAATAAATTATTGTGAATCTGTACATATAATGATTAATTATTTTTCTTTCACTTTTTTGCAGACCAAATTTACCATTGAAAGAGTTGGAATATTTTTTTTTTAAAATTGTGTTTATCTGATTGGATGTAATGTATATTTTGGTACGTCTTTTATTTGTGAATTATTTATTATTTATTTAGGAATTTTAAATATATTTTTTATTTTCAAAAAAAAAATTAAATGTTACAACAATAATAACATCTAATCACATTATATTGTCAACTGTCATTAATCAAAAGTTTAAAATGATTTTTGTAATTTTGAAGTGATGAGTATTAATTATTTAATGATTAAATGAAAGATTAAATACATCAAAATGTAACGGTTTTTGGAGGGAAATTTGTTAAATTGCCACATAAGTAAAATTAAATAGGTTTTATTAAATTCTATTAGCTAGTAATTATATATATATAGATATTTTTATTTTTGTTCCTTTTTTCATGGACAATAATAAACTGTAATTAATTTGATGTTTTGAACTCATATGATCCTTCAATTCAAAGTGATTAATTTAATGTCTACTGCCCGTACAGGCACTCTTAAGCCTGACATTGGTAAAAGAACTAATTAAGTGATGTCATATATATATATATCCAATTATCCACTAAAGGACTACATAAAAAGCATGGGATGCCACGTGTCACATTCTTCTCGATACAGTCACACACGTGTATCTTCAAAGCTCTCCACGTGTCCCACCCTTTCACCTTTCCCCTCCAAATACCCAAAACCCCTTCACAATTTCACACACTCAACACACACACACAGTAACAATCAATGGATAAACTAGACCTCTCAAAGCTGAAAACGGCGTCGTCCGCAATCGGCGAGCGCATCCGGTCCGGCGGAGCCCACGTCGGCCGCACCATCTCCTCCAAGGTGAAGGAGATCCTGCAGCACTCCCAGACCCCCGAGTCGAGGCTCGTCAATGAAGCGACGGCGGCGGCGATCCCCGAATGGCCCCTCAACCTCCGGATCTGCGCCATGGTCGGCCGCGGCGAGCTCGACGGCGCGGGGGTCGTCCGCGAGGTCGGAAGGAGGCTGTCGCGGGCCGGAGATCCAGCGGCCCAGGGCTTGGCCCTCGACCTGCTGGACGCCCTTGCCTCGAATTGCGAGGCGGTGCTTCCCCTGGTGGCGTCGGAGAAGGTATTGGAGGAGATGGCGGAGCTAATTGAGGATCCAAGGACGGAGCAGGGGGTTAGGGTGAGGGCGATGCAGCTGATTAGGGCCTGGGGCGTGTCTGAGGAGCTCGAGCACTTACCGGTTTTTCGTCAGACGTACATGGTCGACCGTCTCTCTCTCTCTCTCTTTCTTTCTCAGTTTTTATCAATCTATTATGAATTATTGGTTCAGGTGGCAGAGCTTTAATAAGTGGATTCACGGCTATGATGAATGGGGTTGGTCAATCGTGTTATCTTGCCGTGCTCGTGTGCTTCACTATCATGTTTTTCATGTGATGTATTTTATTTAATCATAGATGTGATGACAAGTCAAAATTTACTTAAAATTTTTTATTTTGTGTTTTCTCTTGACTGCAACATGGTAACCAAAAAGTGATTTGGCTAATGTTTGGTAAAACTAGTTGATTAGCTATCAAATAGCTGATAAGTGGTAGCTTATGTCTGAAAAACTAGAGAGTTTGGTAAAATTTGGTACGCCAGTTTAAAATTTCAACGGGCTTATATGAAAATAAAGTTACCCAAAGAAGCTTATCTCGAGTTTTTTTCCTACCAAACCAAGTTATTTAAAGTTCATAATAAGCTACAAGCTATGGAGCTTACCGAACACATTCTTAGAATTCTACCACCATAACCATATCCGTAAATTTATTTTCTAAGCAGTTATTTCTTGATATTTGTTCTTTTGTTTCATGAATTTGTGTTGTAATAAAGGGAATTTGTCTTTTTTTTTTTTTTCTTCATGCAGGATTTGAGGTTCAAAGAAATTCAACAAGGCGCACGAGAAGAAGATTCGTTTCCTCCTACATTTTACAACCTTGAATCTTATCTCGGCCAACGCCACCCGTCACCTCCCGAGACACGCCCTGTTGCCAGCACCCTTGTGGAAGACGACGCCGCTCTATTTGGTTACGATTTCGAGTCTGTTGAGGAGAAAAAGGAGATTCTTGCCCAGGCTCGGAACACCCTTGATATCCTCTCCACCATCTTGAATACTGATGCTGAACGAAATCCTGTGGAGGTTATTTTTGTTCGTTGAATTTTGCAATCTCAGTCTTTCCTAATATTGGTTTTGTGGGGCGAGATTATGAATAACCCTTTCGTTGACATGTGTTACTCACCTTAGGTGATTAACCTGTGGTTTTGAAATGTAATATTGAGCGTCTATTCACGTGGGGGTTCGGTTAAGTAGTCGCGGTTTAGAGTTTTTCTTGAGAAGATATACCGGTCTCTAGAAACTTATCAGAACTTTGTGTAAAAAATCGAGAGTACAAAAGGTATTCCTAAAATAAATAAATAAATAAATGTTCGTCCTACATTTTCCACCTTCGGTTCGAACTTAACCCAAGAGAGTATTTTGTAATTGTCAAAATTAGTTTAAACCTTTCTATTATTATTTCTCATTTTACTTCTCTGTGTGGTAAATCTTGAATCGGACCTATAAGCTTGTGTTGTGGAATTTGCAGGATGAGCTGACCATAAGTATGTTGGAGAAATGCAAGCAATATTCTCTGCCGAATGTTCAGAGAATCATAGAAAGCACATCCGATGATGAAGTGATGCTATTCGATGCCTTAAACCTACATGACGAGCTTCAGCTCCTCATTTCCAGACACGGTGACCTAATTTCCTCCAACTGAAATGTGATGTGAAGCTGTTTGTAAATTTTTCGATCGAATGATGAATCTTTTGTCTTGGTAGGTTGTGTTCCCCCATGATGATTTCAGGTTTATTTGTAAGTAATGGAGGGAGGTTTTACTTTTTAAGGATATGAGATCATTGTAGTTGCATGTTTCTGTTTTGGTTGTTTGCATGGGAGTTGAGAAAGAGCAGTTCACGATTGTTTTAGAAAACCTTGGTGCAAGCAGTTAAAATTTTCCTATAACAATGTAACGAGATAATAGTGTTTGTGGATGTTGTATAGACTGATAATCGAAAGAAAATAGCTTAAAAATATTGTTAGACGTCGGATGATGTTCATCACATTACAAAATTAACTGAAGTAAAGTAATAAATTACTTCTATTGTGGTGTGTAATTTTAAAAAGTATAATATTAATTTTATATGATTATTATTATTTATTAATATTATAATATTGTATATTAGATGAATTAAACAAAGAATTAGTGTTGTATAAATTAGTTGGATAGAGTTGTAAAAGGTTCTAGGCACAAGGCAGAGGCGGATGAGACGAGTCGCCGCCGCCGCCGAAGCGAGCCAAAACGAATCGAGCACAGGCGGATGAGACGAGCCGCCGAGCCGAAGCGAGCCAAAATGAACCGAGCAGAGGCTAGGGATAGGTCAATATGAAAAAAGAAAAAAGTAAAAACAATGTATTAATTGGACTATTTAAGAAACTGAAAAAAATATGAAGGTAATTTGGAAAAGTTCTATTAAAAAAAGCTTGTTCACTTTTTAAAGGTAATTTGGAAAAGTTCTATTAAAAAACTATAGCTTGTTCACCTTTTAAAGACTTATTAGATAAATCACGTGACAAAATTAATAGATTTAAAAATTGTAATGATACAAGTAAATAAAAATTAAGATAATTTTTAAAATCATTCTTAATCTTTTTGTTTTATTTGGAATTATTAGGCTGTTTAACTCAATTGAACATTGAAATTAAATTATTTTGAATTACTAAAAAGTATAGTAACTAAGAGCATGCTTGTTTACAAATTAATTCATTTTCAATCCAACTCATACTCAAAGTCCAACTCAACTTTAATTCAACCCCATTATCTTTAATATTATTCATTTAATTAAATAATACAAACCAATCATCCTTACACATTACATCAATTTTAATTCACTATTCATTCACTCACATATTTTTAACTACCTATCATTTCTAATCATTTATCTCCTACTTTTACATCAAATTAATTTTAATCATTTTATTTTAAATATTATTTTAATACATTCTTAAAATTCCACTGACAACTAACCATATTACCTTTTTCAAAATTAACTCTAGTTAACTAAAATAACTCATTTTGAATGAAATATTTCATAAACAAGCGTCCCCTAAATCTTTTGTAGACGCTGTAGAAATGGAAAACCTTTTTTCTTTGCTTTTAATGCACACTAATAATGTTGAAACCAATGTAACCAGTTGCTTAGAAGGCAAAAATGGTAGGTGGACTCGTTAGTTGTATTAATGTATTTAGTGTGGCAAATGAATCCAACGTTCGCGAACGAAAGCTCGTTTGTGTTCGTTTAGGGTTTGTTCGTTTAATAATAGAGCCGAGCTCGAACATGTAATTCAGCTCATTTATTATTCGAAAGAACATAAATGAGTGTTCGCGAACAACAAGATTTTTAATAATAATAATATTAATATTAATAAGCATTTCTTAAGTTTTGGTAATCAAACTATTCGAACAATTCGAGCTAATCAAACGCTCGAAAAGTTCAAATAATTTTGATTAGCTAAACGAGCCGAACACGAACTTATTAACGAACAACTAAACGAATGAAAACAAACATAAATTTAGGCTCGACTAGTAAACGAACGAACTCGAACGAGCTCGAATATTAGTCGAACTCGAATTTGAACAGCCCAAATTCTGCGGCCTTCTCACCGACGGGTGCAGTGCACCCAGCCGTCTTCGACCAGCACCAAGACGGAAGATGGTCTATTGGCGTCTCTGCGGCTCCTCTCCATGCGTGGCGATTCCCCTTTTGCCTTGGGCGGCATGGCGGGCAGCGGAGCAGGCTGTGGTTTACGTCAGCAGCTCCATCAGGCGTAGTAGTGCACCGTCTTGCGGTGTTTGGTTCTGCTTTGGCTTTTACCTTCCTCCCGCCGTCTTTCTTGCCCTTGGTTTTGGCGTGACAAGTTCTTCCGGCGGTGTCCGTCTCGGCTTCGGCCATTCCGTCACGGCAGTCACCGAATTGTTTGGGGGTGGTGCTCCCGGCGGAACCTCCCTTGGGAGGTAAAGAGGGCGGTGATTTGGATTTAGTTAGCCTCCAGTGTTTGAAGGGAGTGTCTGGATTCGGGTCATCGTCCTTGCTTTGCTGGTGGTGCAAAGTGGTTGTACGGTGGGTGAGAAGGGCATAGCTCTATTTTTAATTCTGTAGTTCTGTGTTTTGTGGGTGCTTTGTGTTATTGTGTGTTGAGGGTTGTGTTTTACTTTTGTTTGTTTGTTGTGATTGTTGCTTCTCCTGTTGGAAGTATGGTATTCTCCCGTTGGGAGTGCTATGTTTGTTCTAGAGTGTTTGTGGGTGAGTTGTGTGTGAGTTTTGGGTGTTCTAGGCCATACTTGGTGTAAATTTTCAATCCGATTGTTAGGGATCTTTGTCCTCGGTTTGTTTTTAATGTCTATCGTTTAGAAAAAAATAATCTGAATAAATTGGCAATGCCCCCATGTTCATGCTGTAGCTAGGATTTTTAATCATAGATATGTTGACAAGTCAAAATTTACTTAAAATTTTCATTTCATGTTATTTCTTGTTGTGCTTCGTGTTGTCGAGTCCAATCGTGTCAATTTGCCTCTATGTAATTATGTTTTTTTATTATATGTTCCTGCGTGTTTCGTGACGTGCCATCTATTGCCATCAATATTGTAGACTGCAACAAGTTAACCAAATACTGACTCAAGTTATGTTTGGTAAAACTGGTAAGCTAGCTAGCTATATAGTTCGTAAGTGAATTTCGAGTTTATAGCCTATGACTTATGACTGAAAAACAGTTGATATGATACGTGTTTTGTAAAATTAACTCTTACTAGTTGAAATAAAATATTTCAATTACCAGTTCAAATAAGCTACTCAAAGAAAAAAGCTTATGAAATAAGATTTTACTTTTTAAAAAGACTAGATTTTACTTTTTAAAAAGACTGGTCCTACTTATAAGCTAATTAAATAAGCTATATGCTAGCTTATGGTGTTTACCAAACACATTCTTAGAATTCGGCCACCATATCGTACATTTATTTCTATTTCTTGATATTTGTTTGAATTTGTGTTGTAATAAAGGAAATTTGTCCTCTTTTTTTTTTCCCCCTTCATGTAGGATTTGAGGTCGAGAGAAATTCAACAAGCCGCACGAGAAGGAGATTCGTTTCCTCCTACATTGTACAACCTTGAATCTTATCTCGGCCAACGCCACCCGTCACCTAGCTCCCGGGACACGCCTTGTCGCCAGCACCCGTGTGAAAGACGATGAAGGAGACGCCGCTCACTTTGGCTACGATTTCGAGTCAGTTGAAGAGAAAAAAGAGCTTCTTGCCGAGGCTCGGAACACCCTTGATATCCTCTCCACCATCTTGAATACTGATGCCGAACAAAATTAAAGACTGTGGAGGTTATTTTTGTTCTTTGAATTTTGCAATTTCAGTCTTTCCTAATATCGGTTTTGTGACGAGATTATGAATAACCCTTTCGCTGACATGTGTTACTCACCTTAGCTGATTAACCAGTGGTTTTGAAGTGTAATATTTTGAGCGTCTGTTCGTGTAGGGGTTCAGTTAGGTAGTCAATCACATTTTGGAGTTTTTTCTTGAGAAGATATACTGGTCTTTAGCAGAACTTTTGTGTAAAAATATTGAGAGTACAAAAGTATTTTGTTATTGTCAAAGTTAGTTTGAACCGATCGTTATTTTTCATTTTACCTCTGTGTAGTAAATTTACAATCGGGCCTATAAACTCGTGTTGTGATATTTGCAGGATGAGCTGACCAAAAGTGTGTTGGAGAAATACAAGAAATATTCTCTGCCGAATGTTCAGAGAATCATAGAAAGCACATCCGATGATGAAGTGATGCTTTTCGATGCCTTAAACCTACACGACGAGCTTCAGCTCCTCATTTCAAGACACGGTGACCTCATTTCCTCCAACTGAAATGTTAAGTGAAGTTGTTTGCATTTTTTGGATCGAACGATGAATCTGTTGTCTTGGTAGGCTGTGTTCCCTTGTGATGATTTCAGGTTTATTTGTAACCAATGAAGTATGTTTTACTTTTAAGTTTTTAAGGTTATGAGATCATTATTGTAGTTGCATGTTTTGTTTTAGTTGTTTGCATGGGAGTTGAGAAATAGCAGTTTACGATTGTCTTAGAAAACCTTGGTGCAAGCAGTTAGAATTTTCCTATAACAACGAAATGAGAGAATAATGTTTGTGGACACTGTATAGACCGATCTAGTAAGACAATAGCTTAAAAAAATAGTTTTAGACGTCGGATGATGTTCATCACATTACAAAGTTAATTGAAGGGAAGTAATAAATTTATTCTAGGGAAAATTTCAAAACTAGTCTCACAGGTATAGGGGGGTGACAATTTTGGTCCCAATGGAATGCAGAAAATATGAATAGTCCCACAACTTTTAAAAAATAATCAAAAGTAGGACTTTTTCGCCGGATTTACTATTTCCGGCCCGGAACGCCACGTGGCATCCGACGTGTTCATATTTTTTTACAAGTTGTGGGACTAGTTTTGAATTTTCTGCATTCCATCGGGACCAAAAATATCACTCCTCTAAACTTGTGGGACTAGTTTTGAATTTTTCCTTATCAAGGAAAAAATTCAAAACTAAGCCACGTGTGCGCCATGTGTGCGCCAGCGTGTAAAGAATAAGCCACGTGTGCGCCACGTGGCGTTCCAGGCCGGAAATAGTAAATCTGGCGAAAAAGTCCTACTTTTGATCATTTTTTAAAAGCTGTGGGACTATTCATATTTTGTGCATTCCGTCGGGACCAAAATTGTCACTCCCTATATTTGTGGAACTAATTTTGAATTTTTCCCTTTATTCTATTGTGGCAGTTGTAGTTTTAAGAGGTATAATATTAATTCTATATAGTTATTATTATTTCTTAATAGTATAATATTGTGTATTAGATAAATTAAGCAAAGAATAAATATTGTATAAATTAATTAAACAGAGTGGTGAAGAAGTTTTAGAAACAGAGAGGAGGTTATGAGAAAAAAACAAAAACAAAAAAAAAAACATGTAATATATGATGGGTGAGNAAAACAATAATAAAATGCATTAAAACTCAAAGGAAATTACAAGTGAACAGAACCGGCAACCAAGTTGCAAGAAAATCTCGACAACCGACAGTTAGGAAATGTAATATATGATGGGCGACAGTTAGGAAATGTAATATATGATGGGTGAGATATTAGGTAGAGATATTAGGGAGAAAACAGTGGAGTGAGAAAAAAAATGAAAATGAGATATTAAGGAGAAGTAAGTGTGAAAAAAAAAATCTTTTTAATTTTAATAATGTTGTTGTACTTCATTAAAAATGAAACTAAATTATTTTGAACTACTCAAAAATATAGCTAATAATGTAACTAAATCTTTTGGAGAAGCTATATAAATTGAAAACTTTTATGCTTAGATTGATTGTCGTTGTATCGAGCTCTTTGTGTACACAAATAAATTTTCCTAGATTGATTGTCGTTGTATCGAGCTCTTTGCGTACACAAATAAATTTTCCTAGTAAAAGATCGTGCACAATTTGTTTGTACACCTAACTGAAAATGGTTCAGATTGATTGTGTTTGATGATAGCTGCGCGCGATTTGGTTTTGAGATTATAAGTATTAGTTTAGGATTTATTAAACGAGCCAAACTTAAATTTATATAATTATTTATTTATTAAACGAGCCGTGTCGGGTCAGTTACTAAATAATCATGAGTTCGAGAATGAGATATTTGGCTCGGCTACTTCAACTCATGCAACACTTCTAACTAGATGTTATTAAAAGAGCACACGTTCGAATATGAAATACTTTGAATAATGTCTCTACCAATACACTATGCATAAAAAAGTCAACTTATAAAAGTATTCATTTATAAATTACATGAATCACAAAGTTAAATAAATGAATGTATATATATATATATATTAAAAATTAAATGATATAGAACGGAATTCTAAGGCAATCAAATTATATAAAATCAACAGTAATTGATATATTTTATATGTGAAGTAAAATAATTAACATGAATTGATATATTTTATATGTAAAGTAATCGACGAGGGGACCTTAACGTCTCCCATAGGCCGCAGCTTTACGGCGTCACCGTCCGTCGCATACTTATTGTCTAGCTAACCCCCAAGTGCCCGTGATGGTAACCTTTTCCAATGGCGGTCTCTAACAGAACCCTTCTGGCACCGGCCAGAGCATCGACACTCAACATTGCTTCGTAACTTTCTTCCATTGGAGACAACATATTTCAATATATTCAGATGGACGATAAGTA